CTGCACTTGGTACTAAGGTAAAACCACCTCCATATAAGAGAATGCCAGGAAGACCTAAGATTGTAAGGAGAAAAGCACCTGAGGAAGAAGCCAAGAGTGCTACAACATTGAAAAGATTTGGCTTGCAAATGAGATGCCAGAAGTGCTTGCAGGTTGGTCACAACAAAAGAACCTGTAAAAATGAAGCTGCTCCTAAGCCACCAAGGGTGAGTATTAATTGTTGCATTTATACTTGATTTTCTCCTTTTTATTTGTATCTTAATCTTAAAGCATTTGTATGCTTGTTTGAATTGTAGAAAAAGATTGGAAGGCCGAGATTACAGGACAGAATGTGTCCTCCTGTAAATGAGGTTCCTGATGCAATTCAGAATGACAGAACATGCCATTTAGAAAAAGAAAAATCTACCCCTATGGAAGGCAGAAAGAGGAAAATGCCAGTTAGACAGAGAACTACACAATCTGGCCAGGGGCAAATGTACAAGGATAGAGCAATGGTATTATGAGGATTGTCTGAATTCCACTTTCATTAGTAATAAGCTTAAATAAGTGTTGTTCATTGATTTGTTGTGTATCTAATGCAGGCAAGAAAGGGTTATGGTGTTTACCAATCTGAAGAAACTGGTGCAATTTACATAACAGTGAGTAGTTTTCTTTATACAAATTAATGGTGCATTATAAGGTCTAATTAACACTAATTTTTTAATATGTTAGATGTCAAGTGACAAAAGAGTTCATTGTTTGTCTTCAACTGGAGGGACTAGCCAAGTGACAAGAGAACCTGGAGGAGACATTGCAGGAACACAAGAAAGTGTCGCCAAGTAGTTTTTTTCTTTTTTTTTTTTTTTTTTTGGCATTTTGATGTTGGAAGTGCAATGTATCTGGATAAGTCATGAAGACCATGGATATTGTATTGCACCATTTGTTTAGGTGCTATCTTTTGTGGAATTCAGTATGTAGGAAATTAAATTTGAAGTGTCAAACATGAATTTGCTCTTTTGTCAATTCAGTTGTAAGGAATTAATGTGTTTATGTCATTTCAGTTGCTCTTTTGTAAAGAATCTTGTGTGTTTGAATGACATGGTTTGAAGACCTTTATTAATGTTGTTGTTTATGTTTATGCCAAGAAATCTTATCAGTTGCTATTGTGTGTTTAAATTGCATGGTGCAGGGCTTTTATTAATGGTATTGGTTATGTTTAAAGAAGCATATCATGTGCTTACAGGACAGACACAAATTTCACACAACATTTAAGTTGTCCATGTCTTTACAAACACAAATCACACAACATTGATAATTTATCCAACCAATACAAAAGGTACAATATTTCAAAGTCCCCTAAAACACAAAAATCTACTTCAACATTAATTGACCTTACAAACACAAATCAGACAACATTGATAATTTTTCCAAACAACACAAAAGGTACAATGTTTCAAAGTCCCCTACAACACAAAAGTCTACTTCAACATTAATTGACCTTTACCAGAGTCTCTAACAATGAACATAGATACAAATAACACAAACAGAAATAACATAAAGACATTTCTCTCAAATTTCAGTCTCCTTGAATGGTTATGCACATTCTGCTCCAACTCTTCAATTTTCTTCTTCAATTGATGCAACTCATTTTCTTTCATCTCCAACTCTTGAATTTTGTTCTTCAGCTGATGCAACTCATTTTCTTTGATCTCTAGCCTTTCAGACATAAGACTTTCAGAGATACTTTTACATTTCAATTGCTCTTCTAGCAAGTTCTTTTGAGCCTTCATTCTCAAGAAGCAAGCCTTCTGAAATGGTGGCAACTCAGCATCATGCCACTCAAAAAATTTGCAATCATTGGTCTGCATTATTAGGGAATCTCAATATGTGATTTAATGTACAAATAGGGAAATTAGTATGGAAATTGGCATTGAATATGATAGTCTGCGCAGGATAAAATTCCATCATCCCAAGTATGCAGAATAGAATTCAAGTATGCATAGAATACACTGAGCTAATCCAGTATTATTCATAATCCGAGCACATATTCACAAAGCCAAAAAATAGAATTCAAGTATGCCCAATTCTTCAGTCAACCATTGCATAAAAAATATCAATATACAGGCAATGTATCACTTCTTCACTCAACCATTGTACCACAAACACAGAAAAACAACACATTATCATAATCCGAGCACATATTCACAAAGCCAAAAAATAGAATGAACAATGACAGAACAGATTTTCTTTTTTTTAAAAAAAAAAATCTTACAGTTCTCTCAACACAGCGATAATACCTCCGAGCTGGATTTTTATCCGTGTTCGAGGTCAGTAGCTCCGCTTGACCATGTTTACAAGTAGGAGGATGAAGAATTGTGGTTCGACTGCTAGATCCGCTCGACATTTTCAGGACAAATTGGGGGTTTCGAAAAACACAATTAGGGTTCGTATATGAAGAAGAATTGGGAATTTTGGGGTGCAATTCCAAAGCCGTGGAGAATGTTTACTGAAATTGAAGAGCATCTGATTCACAAGAACTTTGCCATTATTGCCATATTCACAGAAATTGAAGAAGAAAATTATGGTTCTGTTTGTGAACGATAGAGAATGAGAGGGTGACATATATTAAGATTTCTGCACTCGACGTGGAATTTAGATTCTCGTTTTTTAATTTTTTGGTGCAACCGACGTGTCAAATAAACGACGTGGATTTTATTTTTGCATTTTTCTCGCTTTTTTTAAATTCCAGATGTGTATTCCGGCAGGCCACGTCATTTAATTGGTGCCGGAGATGAAAGTCGTGCTTCGACTTGCAAAGAGATGAAAGGTCATGTACTTAAGTGCTAATATGAGAAGGTCGTGATTAAAATGCAAAAACATAAAAGGTGGTGCTTTTATATGCAATTTTGCCTAAAATTTATATTATATGTATATTTTTAATTTATTTAAAGAAAGTATCCTTTCATTGTTATATTAAATAATAATATTATTTATTTATTATTTTAAATTATACATTTAATTTTATTCAATTTAATTTTTATATTATATTTTCTTATACTTACTTTATATTTTTTGATTATTTTGAATTTTCTTTTTTGTTTGATAAATTTTTGCTCTGTTCTTATTGTTTTAATTAAATAAACTAGTGTGCATCCTGTGCGATGCACGGACGTACGGGCTTATTATTTAAAACTTTTTTAAAATTTTATTTTAAACATAATTATTTATATTTAACTCTCATTATTGCAACAAAATAAATTCAAATATAAAAAATTATATATTATTTATTTGAATATAATGAGTGTACCCAACAAAACCAATAACATCCAACACATGATATATGATAAAAATAATTACATGAATCGTCATGCTTCTTAAAATAAATATATATATTTATAAATTTAATAAATATGAGATATTTAACGCATTAATATTTGTAATTTGAGTATGAGATGAAAAATGATGTGTTACAAAACAATAGGTACCAAGAATCCACATAATATGAGATTTGTAGATAGATAATCATGGATAAAAAAATATTTAACAATTAATGTTATATGAAGAAAATATAATATATGCTTATGATATTCAAATTTCAAAATTCAAATTATTTTTGAAATTTTCATATGTAGTAAATAAATACTAGTATTCTTTTAAAATACATGATGTTATATATTATAGTATTTAGTACTGTGGGGAGGTTTTTTATTTATATATTATTTCTGGTAAATAAATTGAAATATGAGGTATTTGCACATATACTTGAAACAAACGTATTTTATATTAAATCAAGTGGAACGTCCGAATTTCATGACTTATTTTAGTTTATCTCTTAGATTCTTTTTTTTTTTAAAAAAAAATGATGATTTGATGTGGGATTGGATCTATGATTATTATCAAATTTATAATAACCTAAGAGCATCTCCAATGGAAAATGGTCAATTTTGTGTTGTATGGCATGGAGAATGAAAACAAAAAAAATTATGTCTCCAATGGTTGATGTTAATTGTGGTATCATTTGTGATGTGTAAAATTTTAATTGATTGAAGAAGATAAATAAATTAAATAAATATGCTAATATACAATGGAAGTTGTCTAAAAAGGTTTCTACATCTAGAAAGTTTTCTAGAATTTTTTCAAGCCACATAAGATTATTTGTGCCATGTGGCAACAAAATAGAGAAATAGAATGACTATTGAAGATGCTCTAATCGGTATCCTTTTTCTATTTTTTGTCTGACACATTTTAGCAACAATATGTAAAACAAAAAAAATACGTTTTAAGAAATATTTTCATAAATTTATAAAATCCTAACAATCACTATATCTTTTTTTTGTCAAAACGATAGAAATTTTATATCAAAAGACACATAAATACATCTAAAACAGCTCAAAAGCCGAAAAGACAGCTCAAAAGCTGAATCTAGTGGGAGGACAGATCCAAAGGATCGCCTAGAACGCACCCACTAACAAAATAACACAATGAAACTCCACAACTGGAGAAAGAGCTCCCCTACGGGAGAAAGAACTCCCCAACGGGAGAAAAAGCTCCCCTACGGGAGAAACACACTCCCCTACGGGAGAAACTACCACAAGCTAAACAACAAAACAACACAACACGACAATCTCATTCCCGCAACACTAATGAAATTGTTTGACCGCCACCCTGAATGGCAATCAATAAGCGATCGAGCCCACCCAGGTTAATCATTCAACTCCATCAGTGCCAAAAGACGGACCTAGGTAAATACAACACAATAACAAAGACACAGACCAACAAACTACAACAAAAAATAAATAAAATGAGAGCCCTTCCCAAGCAGAAAACCACATCAAGGCCAACAATGGCAAAGTCTCGGTCCAGGATCCCAACCCAGAAACTGCAAGAAAACGCCTAACGGAGTCGAAAACCAACGGACCTAACCCTCGTCCAGACGAACAACTCCACTGTCACCCAGAGACGAAGACACCTGGCCAACCAACCCAACCCTGTCCAGCCCTTCCCAGCCCAGCCCAACCTTGCCCAGCACAGCCCAGCCCTGCCCGAACCGGCCCATCCCAGCACGGCCAAGCCCAACCCTTCCAACGAGCACAGAAGCCCAGTCAATCGATCTCCGGCGAACACGATTCCAAAACTCCACACCCACCCTTCCGACGACTGCGAGGCCAAGGTTCAGCACCCACCGTTAATCGCTGACCACTATGGCTCTAATACTCTGTACCAGGGCCAGGAGAATCCAATTTGGCCAGAATCCAATCTCCACCCCAAACCCTAAATTGGAAAATTGGGGTCGCACCTCGCTCCAAGAGAGCGCCGAAGGCCGCCGCAACGGAGATACCGGAGGAGAACGAAAACCCGCCACACGCTTCCGGCTCCAGAGGCTGAACACCGGAAAACGTCGCGAGCTTCTCCCCGGCGAAAAAGCCCCCTCTAGCGGCGCAACTCTGGGTGGCGAGCCGCGGGGCCCAGAAGAGCCACCGCCGAGCACTCGACGTGCCCTGTCGGGAAGGCAACGAAGGATTTACAGATGAGGGATGCGGGGAAGAAGACGACGGGAAAGATGGATAGGAGCGAGAGAGAGATTTTTTTTAAGAGCTTTAATAACAATCACTATATCTAAAATACATATAATTGAAAATAAACAAAATTGAAATATTTGTCTACCAAATATCAAGTTTTGAATTTTAATAATTTCCATCATATTTTCAAAAAATAGCGTAGAGGCTTTTAATTTGGTAGGAAATAGTATATGAAATAAATAAATATAAATATTTGATTTTATATATTTTGATGGTTTAAAACATAATTTAATAATAGTTTAAATGGATACAATTTACAGAAACTTTTACTTGATTGGCCATAAATTGAGGGAAGAAATTTGTACTTTATTATTAAAGTATCAATCATATTGAAGTGAACAACCACTTAGGATATAGATTGGAAAAGGAAATAAATTATAAAAATATAGTAAAAAGTAAATTATCATACGGAGTAATATAGAAAAGGCAAAATAATTAAGAAATATTTGAGTTAATCAACTTTCAAGGAAATCTTTGACTATGCAGATTGATTAACTCAACTAAATAAAGAGAAAAAAAGTATAAAAAAAAAATAGAGTTGGAATGGAAAAAAGTTACGGAAATTTGGGAAGTTAAAAAACAAAATAGATAGAAAAATTCTTTAGATATGTTTTGATAAGGA